GCACAATACTATTAGAGAGGAAGTGCCAGGATCTGACACAATGACACTGAAGGAATAGCAATATATTTGCAAGACAGGATGATGTGTGGTTTGAAAAAAAAACTTGCAGATACTGGTTCCCAGGTATCTGCTGCTCTTGACCTTGCAACTGGTAGAGGTCACAGGATTGGAAAGTGCTGTTTGTGAAGCTTTGGTGAGTTACTGCAGTACATCTTGCAGATGATACACATTGCTATCACTGTGCATTGGTTTTGAAATGATTGGAATTTAAGGTTGTGGTTCAGGTGCCAATCAGTGGGCTGCTTTGTTCTCTAGTGTTAAGCTTCTTGAATGCTGTTGGACTTGCACTCAACCAGGCAGGTGGGGAATATTCCATCACACTTCCAACTTGTGCCTTGTAGATGGCAGACAGGCATTGAGGATACAAGAATTGAGTTGCCTGCTTCAGATTTCTTAGTCTCTAACCAGCTTGTGTAGCCACAATATTTACATGGTTGGTCCATTTCAATTTCTGGTCAATAGATTGATGATGATGCATGGGAACGCCACCACATACAAGATCCCCATTAAGTCACACACCATTGTACCATGGAACTACATCAATGTTCCTTAATTGGTACTGCTTCAGAAACCTGGAATTGACTCCCTAACTCCATTGAGTATGTACCTACATCCTACAGACTATGATGATTTAAGAACTACTTCAAGGGTAATTAAGATGGCAGTCAAATGGCGACCTTGTCAGCCTGTTCACACACCTTGAAAGGCAAAAAAAAATCCTTTTTAGAGATACGTTTATACACAGTTTCTACTGAAGATCTTCTCACATTCTAAGCATTGAGGATTATGCAAAATAAAAAAAGTATAAATTACCACAGAATTTAATTTATTTGAGTAATACTGCAAGTGTTGCAGTAAAGTAACAGAAAACATGGTACTTTACCCCAGCTAGGTTAGTTTAAAGATTTACAGTAGTTGAAAAGTTCAACTTTTAAGTTTAATGTAGACCTGCCTTGAAAATGGGACATCATCCTAGTAATACCTGTTCAAAGTATTTATTCTTGAGAAATTATTCAAAGTTGGGACAGAGTGCTGCATCTTAAAGAATAAACTGGATTTACTGCAACCTGTTGTGTTTGGAAACATGATGTCTGAGCCCGGTTAATCACAGGAGAGGCCATACCTTTGTCTCCCAGCGGCAGGAAAACTTCCTGCAATTAAGTTGGAGTTAGGAATGGGTCCATGGAGTAATCTCACCAACTGTAGGCAGGTTGTCAATTAGATTCAGTAATTAGTCAATTGACATCACTTATCCTTGAGCATGCCAGAATTTGGTGGTGTTTCAGGAATTGCATGTGAGTAGCTCAGTGTCTCCAGAAGCCTTTAGGGGGTAGTCCCTCTTTTAAAGCCTCATAATTTCTCAGAGGAACCTGGCATTGAGCAGTTATCCCATGTCTCTATTTCAATCTCACTCATTGGTGGCCCCCATTCCTTGGTGATCCTAGGTCTCTCTCAGCAGTAGCCACTACTCCTTCTTATAAACATTGGAGGTAGCAATGTGAGTTATAATTCAGTCGAGATACAGTGTCAACAGATTGCAATCGCATCTTCTATGAATTAATAATTTTTCAAACCTTGGTATGAACATATAAATTAAATTTTATAATTTGTCAGTGTAGATTAATAATTAATCTGAAGCCAGTAAATGTTCTTTACAGGGCATGGCAGAAACAATCATTAAGAACTGATAGAAAAAAACATAATAACTTAACAGAATTCCAAAGTGCTTTATCTGGAATGAAGTATTTTGAAAATTATGCAAATACAGCGGTGGATTTATAGCTATTAAGACCATAGCACGGTGGTTTTGAAAGTGGAGGTACAAAAATCTAGTGGGTGATTTTCCTGCTGCCTACCCCTCATTTGTCTGAAATATTTGGGGAGCTGGAGAGGGCTGGGCATCTCACCAAGTTCGCGGCCTACTGAGATCCTTAAATAGGTAATTAATGGCTATTCAAGCATTTCATCCCTCTGCTTCTGGTAGCCACGGTAGCAGGAGGCCTGAGCTTGACCGAGTCCCGCTGGTGCTCGCGGAACTACAAAGTTGCTGGTTTCTCCTGAGATAGGGGCAAATGTTTTGCCTTAAAACAATTAACATTAAATAAATGGCATTGTGGGGGTACCTACAGCATATGGACTGCAGAGTTCAAGAAGGCAGCTCACCACAACCTTCTCAAGGGCAACTAGGGATGGCCAATAGATGCTGGCCCAGCCAGTGACACCCAAATCCCATGAGTGAATAAAACAAATTTACCAAGCAGCTAGTTGGGATTATGGATGAGCTCCCCACCAATTGTTTTAGCTTGAGATGTGGGTGCCATGGTGCCCTGTAAAACACACCTCATGAGGTGTAATCTTAACTTGATTTTTATTAAACTGGTTCTCAGTGCATTACTTTATAATGTACTATGGTTTCTAAACTGGCTGTGGTGCAATTCATTAGCTTGGTTTAGCTGATACTTCTTCAAAAGATGAGATTGGATTATTTGGTATGTGGCAAAACTACAAAAGTTGTCATTTTCTGCCAAAAGCTTAGTAATTCCGCAATAGACTAGAAAATAGAATAGCTTTCCTCTCTGCATAATGACTTTCATGAGAATGAATTGTTCACTTTGTTGCACAGAATTTAATATTGTAATTAAAATAATTTCCTTTCAATGAGTATGTGAATGCAATGCACATTGTGACCCTGAGCCATATGGACCACAAAGGTTAGTTCCTGATTGATACTTCGTTAGCTGATTTTCAACTAGATAGTGCTAAAAACGCCTTCAAGTAATCCCAGGCAAAAAAAAGGTGAAAATAGTTAACTAGACATTCTGCTAATAGCCCTGCTGGAAAATATACATATGCAGATACTTGATGCATAAAGGATCAGACTATACTGTCAGCATAGCTCCTCTTCTATCTGAGCAAAGAGGTACAAATGTGAACAGCAATTCTTCCAAAATAGAAAATGTTGGGTATACAGATTAGTTAATCAACATCCTGCAGTTCAGACCTATTAACTTGTCATAATATAAAAGCCACAGAATAAGGACAAACCTTATTAGTGTGCAGTACTGAGTTCTGCAGTAGAGGATGGATATTGATGCTTCCCAGAAGACAGAGGTGAATTCATGAGGATTCTGATATGAGGAAATGCAAATATGATAAATACTTGAAAAATAAGTTTTGGTAAAATATTGATCTATTAGAATTGTCCAAAATTCTGTACAAATGAGATGTGATAGATAGTGGCTGAGAGATCACAGTTTTTGAGGAATCAAGATCAAGGAATCCTAAGTATAAGATTAAATATAAGAGACTTAGAATATAGTGAAGAACAGCTTTCTTTAAAGAATAATGAGCCTATACAATTCATTTTCATGATAGTAGTTGAGGCAGAAATTATATCAATTACTTAGATTAGTTTGAAATAATAGAAGGACTAACAGGAGTTGAAGAAATGAGACCAGGGTAATTAGATTAGACTATTTGGTCATGAGAGGGTTAACTACCAACAGATGGATTAGTTGGAATGACCTGTCTCTATGTTACAACTTTTACATTTTAGTAAGCATTGGTCTCTTCCTGGTCACTGAGGTATACATTTCTAGCACTTTCTGTTTTTAATGCAGAATTCCTACATTGTATGTTATTTGTATCTCCTGAAAATATTTTTCAAAATTCAGAATTTTAACTCTCTCCAGTATCTTTTCATTAAAATGGCAAAAACACTGTCGTTAGAAGACTGCCAGCCATCATGGTAAAACGGCCATTGCACTTAGCTGTTCTGATGTATCTACTGTATATCTGAATCACAAATATTCAATGTCATTGCTGTTCCAATTATGTTCAAAATTTTATGATTAAAGGCAGATTATCTGGATAAAAGACGATCCCCGGTCGAGTTGAGCTATTCATGTTTACTTGTTTTCAATAAACGATTGCCTGAGGGAAACCGTGTCCTGAAACTTGTGAAAAAGGATTTCTTTAAACATAGACACAGTTTCCATGAAAATTAAAACAAAATTCATAAAATACCACAGGATCCAAAATTATGCTTTATATACAGATTTTGTGTGAGACCTCAAGTAAATTATTTGTTATTGTGTAGGATATACCCTCACATTCCTTTGCTTCAGATACCTAAATGGCCCACATGTGTAACTTCCAAAGTAAGTACTCCTAACTTTCTACCATAGTAATCTTACGTTTTTGTATCTTAAGTTACAAAAAAAGTCAATTTCACATCTTAAACCACACAACTTTAAAATCCGTAGTTTCTTTAGACAAACCTTACCTTAAAAAATATTATTTACAATCGTGCATTAAATCACAGTGCCTTTCTTTTTTTGGCATAACAGTTAGCTATAGACATCGTTAGCAAGATACAGTTGACACTGTTCTTAAAATTGGTAATTGGGCCACTGAAGATATCTACTGTTCTCAACATGCAAGTCACTTAATATTGGAGTATTTCCCCATACATTTGACAAAGAGGATCATCCAATGTTACAAATTAAACTATCTCACTTCAAGACATCAGCACTGGGAATTTTTTCCCAATTTGTTGCTGTGATTTTGGTGGGAGCCAAGTTTATATGGCATGTCTGGGGTTTCTGCCAAAGCTACAGAGACTGAGAGCAGAAACTCTCCTACCAAGGAAAATCTTGGAGCTTCTACAAATCAGAACAAACTATGTTTTGATATGAGAAACACTGCTTGAAAACTGAAGCAGTCAGTTGTAGCTGTATAGTAAGACTAAACAGTTTTGCATCAACATGGTTCGTTTAACTTAAGACTAAGTTAGAATACAAACAATATTTAATTTTTATAACTTAAGTTTCACTTTCCAAAAATACTTTTATATGATTTTATTCCAATTATTTACCATTTTGCACAATGCTCATGTTGAACATTATCAATAAAAATGATGGACATGAACTATACAGGAAGCTATTATTTGGCAAAAATGTCTAGTTTTACAGTAGAATATTAACCTACTTGATTCAATTCCACCAAATTCTTTCAAAATATTGTGGGTTTAATTTTATACAAGGCTCTTTGTCAACTTTTCTTTCAAAACAAGTTCAATCACATTTTTCTAAGAATTTCTTTCATTTATCTCTCTGGAGGATGAGCCCAAAGTCTCATTCATGTGCTGTATCATTCTATGAATTGCATCTTAGGCACAAACATTTCGCTAAGGTCTTGTCTTGATTTAAGATATACCTAATGCTGGAGTATATTGTGGACACATGCAACTTGTTGAATAGGTTTGAATTTTGGTATTAAGGTGGCTGTAGAGCTTTTATTTTAAAAATATTGATAGATCTATTGTAAAGTTTACTCTTTCAAATAAAAGTAGACCAGCAAAATGTAATGGCTCAGAATTAGCTCTGGTTATACAAAATGACTTTTCCATAATCCTATCAAAATATTCTCCAATGCATAGTGCAAATATATACAGACTTTGATTTCTTATATTTAAAGAAAGCTGTGTACAGCACTTGTTGTGAATGGCCTTTTCAATAAAGCAAGCCTTCACATTTTTGCATTGGTGACACATTTTACAGAGGCAGTATTGGAAAATAAGTTTATGTTGACCCTTGTAAAGCATCTCTTTCCTGATTAAAGCAGGAGAGTAATGTAAACATCCAGTTCAGTATGGAAACAAAAATGTTCTTATGAATCACAATGTAGTTAACAGATTGCGAACATTGAAGCTGCTTTGTCTGACTTCCAAGGAATGTAAACAGACAAAAGGCACACAGAGGCCTTGGTCCAGTTCTCGCCAGCTGATCCAAGCTGCACTTTCACAGTTCTGTCATCAAAAGACGCTTCATTATCTTCTCTCGATCCAGTTCACGTCTCACATTATCAGCACTGTGAACAATGAAAATTCAGTTTGTTACACAATACACTCCTCCAACATTACTGAGATGTTACGTAATGATATGTACAGCTAATTTATGTTATCAACAATAGTTATTGCTTTATTGGTCCATTGTTTCTTAATTTGCACAAGCTGAATTGTCAACTACTTTTGTGATGACAAATTTAAGAAAATAGTGCATTTGAATTCATTTCAACAGTTTGGTTTAAGTTTAGAAAAGTATCTATGGGAAATTTCAGGCTCATCAAGGTGACGTGCTTTAATTCTAGGAAGTTTAATCCTTTCCATTTGCAAACCTAGTTCCAACATCTTGTATAGCCTCATCGACCCAACAATATGTCTTTGCAAGGTGTAGAGCTTGATGAACACAGCAGGCCAAGCAGCATCAGAGGAGCAGGAAAGCTGACGTTTTGGGTCGAGACCCTTCCTCAGAAAAGGGGGAGGGGAAGGGGATTCTGAAATAAATAGGGAGAGAGGGGGAGGCAGATAGAAGATGGATAAAGGAGAAGATAGGCGGAGAGGAGACAGACAAGTCAAAGAGGCGGGGTTGGAGCCAGTAAAGGTGAATGTAGGTGGGGAGTTAGGGAGAGGATAGGTCGGTCCAGGGAGGACGGACAGGTCAAGAAGGCAGGATGAGGTTAGTGGGTAGGAGATGGGGGTGGTGCTTGAGGTGGGAGGAATGGTAAGGGAGGCGGGGACGAGCTGGGTTGGTTTTGGGATGCGGTTGGATGAGGGGAGATTTTGAAGCTTGTGAAGTCCACATTGATACCCTTGGGCTGCAGGGTTCCCAAGCGAAATATGAGATGCTGTTCCTGCAGCTTTCGGGTGGCATCATTATGGCAATGCAGGAGGCCCAGGATGGACATGTCGTCCAAGGAGTGGGAGGGGGAGTTGAA